GTTGCCACGTTGCTACAAAATTCGGGGATTTCAATAAATATTTGATAAAAAACTAATATTTAGCTGTTCTAACTTGTTACTCTTCTTCGTTGATTATTTCCTCTACTGATCTATACTCTTCATCAGTAGGTGCATGGTTAAATTTTGGTTTGCAGCATCTTTTGGCTTTCGCCATCTTTGTTCTGTTCCACTTTAGTTTTCGTCTGACAACAAATTGTTTTGTATATATTCCGGTATCCCTTCTTGAAATAGCTACAAGAATTTGTAAACGGTTTTCTTTCGAATTAACCCTTTCAGGATGGCGACGTTTACGACACAATTTGCCACACAGACGAAAGTTTTTGCAGTGCCGTGTGGCCGGGTGTCGTGTATAGACGTCGTATACATAAATGGATTCTTACTTCATTAAAGTTTATCTCATGACTTTAATTAGTATTTCTTTAATTTTTTTTTAAAAAACTTTAAATTTAAATCTCAACTTGCTCATAGTATATTTTGAAGCAATGAAAAATGCACAGTCCAACATTATACTGAATGCACATAACCTGCATCTTCTTTCTTTTTGTTTTCGCCCTTGTTAGTTTGGAACAAACCCAACATCTTCTAACTGCAAATTTGATGTTCTCCTTTCGAGGCACCTCTTCGGGAAAATGACACTGCGTCAATCTTGCATTTCCAAGATCAGAAGTAGTGGTTTACGTCAAAAAGCAGGTTTGCTGAGAAGGCAAACCCGGCTTGCCTCGCAGACGGCTGTCGGCTACTTCCTTCACTGCCGTCGGTTCTGACACCCGTCTGGGTAGCTTGTCTGGTATGAACGACATTTGCTTAAATAATACTTTCAGTTAATGTCGTCCATATACGACAACCGACGAGAGGGCACTATTTCTTATCGTCTATACACGGCAGCCGTACTGAAAGGATCCAAATAGATGGCAGCTAGCTGAAATCTGGATGAATACGACATTTTGACGGAATAGTTAATCTGAAAAGAGTGAAAATTTAAACGTGATATAAGGGTAATCCATTGGTGTGTAAATATTCAATATCTTTGACATTACACAGTGTGTCCACTTAAGTTGGAACCAAATTATGGAAAACTCTTTTATTATCGGTTTTGTAAAAAAATTATTCCTGATAAAAAGTTCTGCATGGTCCAGAACTTAAAATGTAACTATCAGATATCAATTGTTTTTAAGCTGTGTACGAGGTTTGTCAAAAAATATGAATTTTGCTAAAGAGTAAACTCCCTTTTTTTGACAAACCTCGTATACGACTTTTGATATGTGATAGTTGTATTTTAGGTTTTAGACCTTGCTCGACTTTTGATGAATAATACCGTTTTTCCTAATATTAATAATAAAAAAGTTTTTCATATGCCACCAATTGTCTACGTAAGTTGGCGGCATCGTCGTTGCCGTCAAACAAGTTGAATTCCAGATTCAGAATCTATGTCTATTACCTCTATCTCAATATTTAAAGGGACTACCTTCAAATTAGTCTTACCATTGGAAAGAGAAACTTTTTGTTTTCTTTTAAAATTTCTATAAGAAACCATATTTTTAATCTTTAATATATTCGTATGTCCACCAAGTCAACAGTATTATTAACTTAAAATACTTGACTTGAATTTATGTTGTAAAAGATTGGGTTGTTTGCCACAGGTTACATAATTTTTAGAAAAACAGATGTTTTTTACAAATGAAGTCTGAATAGCAAAGTCGCAATATGGTCATCTAGTTAATATTCACATCATCATTACAATTAAATGTAAAAGAACTTCAAAACTACTAGTGTCAGATACCAGATACCAAAAATGTTATTCCTCTATAAAATCATGCGGTGCACATGCGGATCTATTACCAATCTACTCGCATCAGAGAGGATCACACAATATTGATCTCGGTTACAAAACTGGATCAGTAATCTACTAGTTTCCGAACTTGGATAGGGTTAGTAACCCTAATTAGAATTAGAGATGGATGAAAAATACCTATATCTAGATATACGGTTACAGTAGTGGTAGACTGACATCGAATTTAATCCATTTGCTACATACACAATATCAAGTAATTATTTTAACTTTATTCTTAAAAAATTATAACAAAAACCGAATACTCTCTCTTACAGAAGCGCCCTCGTTTGTAGGCAGCTTTTTGTAATTTTCTTTCGTTTTTATTTTTATTTGCTCTGTTTATTCTACTGAGTGACTTTGTATTTCAACTTGTTTGTATTGTCCATAACGACAATCGCAAAAAATATCGCGTTACTTCCATTAGGAAGATCGGATAAGCAGTTAAGTATCCCAAAACATTTACTTCATTTTCGTGACGGACGAACAGATAGACGTCGAGGTGATTCGATAAGTGTTCTTTTTCGCCAAATTGCGGATGAAACAATAACAATTGGCCTATTTTAATTATGTTCCAAATCACGTGGTTTAAATTACACTAATCTATGTTTTAGCAATTAAGAAAATGTAAATGATTGGACTATAAGTTTATTAGCTTTTAAATGTTACGCTATTTTGTGTATAAGCTTATAGAATAGTATTTTTCACAGTCCGATTGTTCCATATACAACTCCCATGTAAGACCCCAATTTACGACTATGTACTCTCTAAAAACTCTCAAATTTCATACCCACTCAATTTAGTAGGGCGTCTCGATCTTTCTATACGGCAGCCAAGGTGTCAGCTCTATCTGTCTCCTTCAACAGCTTTGTCTTTCTCCATGTTTACAAACATATACCAGAATTTAAATTGCAAGTATACAAGCGCTTACGTACGAATTAATGGATTGGTCTAGTAGTTGTTCGTCGTTGTTTGGTCTTAAATAGCTTAAGGTATCGACAACCTTGATCCTGATCTGAAATCCTGACCAAAATAATATTAGATCAAGAGAAGAGATATCACGTTCAAAATAATTTCTATTTTGTTTATTATTTCCGGTTTAAAAAAATTATATTAGACCTAAAGAAAATATATTCCCGTCGAAAGTAAAGAGACCAATGCAACTAATTTTGTGGATAATCTTTTGGACAGGATAAAAGCTTAAACTTCAAAGCCTGCGTTATTTTAGGTATTTTCTTCACCATATTTTAGTTCTATATCGGTCTTTTAACCTTTAGACAAAGTGTCAGGTAACTTTTATTTCCCATCTTTTCACTTCTGGATAAAATTAGCCCCTGGAAGATAGCTTATCTTGCCTATGAAGTTCCTGATAAAGTACTTAACTGTTTGATTAACAGGTGGCTACATTACAGATTATTTCCCTTGAAAAGAAAGAATTAATTATCTATCAGATAGTAATTCTCGGATAATATTTATAAATAATTTGCCAAAGTAAAGGCGAAACTAGACTAACTTCTGCTAACTAGCCAGTATAGCCTGATCAAATGGTAGTTTTTCGGTAACATGAAAGCAGTAGAAAGTTTATCAATGGAATTATATGTTTTTTGGGGTGCTGAACACAAATCTAAAGTTTGCAGCCTCGTAGCAGTACCGCTTCAGGTCGAAAAACGCAAAAATATTCGAAATTTTCGGAGTTTTTCTGGCTTTTCTCTCATATCATGGAAACGATGCATCATAAGGAAGATGTCGTTCTATTCAAAGTTAAAGAGCATACAATTTTGCGTCGAAAAACCTCCCTAACTTTCAAATTAAACAGATTTATAAGGTCGCTATCGTCAGTTGAAAAAGCCATTTTTTGGAACTTTTATGAAAACTGCAAGAAACTCACTTTTAGATATATGTGCTGTGAAAACAGCCACTCTACTTGAAAAACTCGTATAACTAAAGTTGTAAAGCATCAAATTTTGCGTTCAGTGAGCACCGAAATTTTAAATTTGGATCAGTAATATACGCATGTACTGTTCATTTCTCCATTTTCCCTCTAAACGCTTATTTGACCAATGTGCAGAGGTTCAATAATAATAACAACTTTGTGCTGTCAATATGAACCCCTACCTCTCAAACTCCTCCTTCCAACCCTAAATTAAAGTACCAACTCCCCCTCTCTCTCAAACTCCCATCCCAACCCTAAATTCCTACCTCCTCCTTTTATTGCAAATCTGACTTGAGGATTTATAAGTATTATGTAATAGGTACGCATTTACAAAAAAATATTTACTTACTTATTATATTTAGAGTTACAAGATAAAAGAAGTAACTTCTTATTATATATTTGAGGAAAAATCGTGGGAAGACCATATAGTCAGCTGGAAAGAAGAGCAAGTAAGTTGACGTATAGTGTGAAGATGCTATGTAAAAAATACCTGGTAGTAATGTCTATTTTATTTGACTCTCCTTCGTTTTGCTGTGACTGTGGAAGGTCCGGGCGTAGGGTTTTTAATAGACGATGCTGGTATAGGCTCTGGCTCTTCAGCACTCGGAGTGGCAGGCTGGGATGGCGGTTCTTCAACTGAAAGCAATGTCATTGAGTTTGTGTATTGTAAAATAACGCATAAATTACTTTCTGAAGTCTCACTGCTACTGACAGTGGTGCAGCAAACGAAGGGTCGTCTTCTTGCTCATCGAGGTCGGTTCTTTCGTCCACGTTGGTGCAGGAATCGGCACAGTTGATGCGGACATGGGTGCAGAACAGACCTGCCCGCCTTCATCCACAACGCCTAGCACACTCAGTGCGGCATTTGCATGATATTTGCTGCATAGTTTGTCAGGAGCCGGGCGTTTCAGGGTGGTAAATGAGATCAGACCATTTTTGGTTGACTTTCAACCCCACAGGTTCGGATCCAAACTGTTGCCGAGCCACTGTTGCACTTGTAAATATACACGCAAGCTATGCTGGTAGGCTGCAGCATCGGAGGGAGGGATAGATGCAATTTTGCTGGAAAACTTAAAGGCCGATGTCATGTACTGCTTGTATCGCAGCGCATTCAAGGAAGTTGTTTGATGGTTAGCCCCGTACAGGGCTACCAAATTTTTTTATCCAGCAGCAGCAATTGCCGTTGGCAGCGCTGATGGAACCAACAAGGTCAAGAATTTAGTTATATAAAGATGACGTCGAGTTGCATCCACTCATCGCGTGCAGAAACATCATGTGCTTGGCAAGATTTTGTTTCACAGCAGACTGTGGTAGGTACAGCAACTGAGGCGGTTTCCCTTTTCCTGGCTTCAGCAGATAGACGTTTGGAGAAGTGTTGAGACCCATCATTATCACCAGCAGATCTACATCTTCCCCCACAATCGCAACAGTTTGATGAGTAAGGCCCAAGGATTCGGCCGTCCGAACAATCAGTGAATCCGCATCTTCGTTTGCTTGTCTGCAGGCAATTCCAGCTTCTTCGCACTTTGCCATTAGCATGGTGATTAAGCGTCTTTTGTTTTTGGCAAAACACATAAACTTTTCTTGAGACTACAAAGCGTTCGGTGTATTGGCACACGGAAAACAGACAACTGTGAAACGGTCTATCGGCAGTGTTGCGAGATTGTGCGGTTTGTGAAAAATTGGTCTAGTTTTTCACGTACAGTGGATGTTTTTAAATCACAGTCGTCTAAAAGAGAGTTTATTGTAGTTTACACAAAAGTTTGCGAAACTACTTTATATTGGTCAAATAAGCGCTTAGAGGGAAAATAAAGAAATTATCAGTATATGCGTATATACTGATCCAAATTTAAAATTTCGATGCTCACTGCAAATTTTGATGCTTTACAACTTTTGTTGTACGAGTTTTTCACGTAGAGTGACTGTTTTCACATCACAGACGTCTAAAAGTGAGTTTATTGCAGTTTTCTCGTTGCTAAAAATTGGCTTTTTTCGACTAACGATGGCGACCTTATAAATCGGTCTAATTTGAAAGTTAGCAAAGTTTTTCAACGCAGAATTTTCCATACGATGCATCGTTTCCATTATATGAGCGGAAAACCAGAGAAACTCCGAAAATTTCGAAGATTTTTGCGTTTTTTGACCTGAAGCGGCACTGCTACGAGGCAGCAAACTTCAGATTCGTGTTCAGTACCTCAAAAAACATGTAATTCTGTTGAGAAACCTTCTACCGCACTCATTTTTCGAAACAGGCACTTTTGAACACCATTTGATCAGACTAGTAGAGAAACCTTACACCAAGGCTGTTACATCAGATTTAACTAGATATAACAGAAATAACCCTTTTAATAATAAAACACCTAAATTAAAGAATACACTTTATAACTTATTTTTCGTACAATTTCGCTAAAAACAGTATAAGCAGGCCTTAACCTCAACCAAAGCTCACATTACCGGAGCAACTGATAAAGCTCTTTCCATATTAATTGGTTTTGATAATACTTTAACCGATTTTATAGGGAGATGTAAATTGGGCTGTAGAAGGAGAAGGGTTTGCTACCATTTCTGCAAATATATCAGTTTGTTTGCTATTACTAATTCTTTTTTTCTACCAAATCGTTAGGCATGATGTTTGTAACATAAAGAAGATCCCTCAAATAAATTTTCGTCATAGGGCGATTGATGTACCTTTCATTAAAAATGCGTTAACACTTAAAACACTTTAGATAACTAAAAGCAATACATAGGTACATCTTATAATTTTATGATAAGCTATTGTTTTATTTGTAGACACTTAAACGTCTCGTTAAACAACAATAATTAAAAACGTATTTTTCGCACTATCCAATAACGTTAACACTTAAAATAAGTTAAATAACTAAAAGAAATACATCTTATAATTTTATGATAAGCTATTGTTTTATTTGTTTAAATTTTTACTAAATCTTCTATAAACGAACATGAGTTCTACTAAAGATAAACAAAGATAGCATATGGATTAACCCTCGTACATGAAAACAATTCAATTATTTTTATTGTTATTCTCATTAAAGCAACATTACAATAATAAACTCGGCGAGTTGATTGTTTTTTTGTAAACGACCGCATCGCAGCATAATTTATTCATTTATTTTAAAAATGACTCGACAGAGAATCGAGGGAGGCTTTTTTAAGACGATTATTCTTCCTCACAGATCCTTTCCGTCTCAAATCTTATGGTAATCAAGCCCAGAGTTAAGAATAGATTAAAAAGAAATGATACAATCCATAATAACAGAAAACACAGGAAACCTAATCTTCCTGCGAAATACAAAAAAAAAAGCAACAATCTGCTCACGTAAGTGCAATAAAAATGACAAAGTGGAACTGTGTACGAATTCAATTAGTCACGAGGGTCCTTTTGGCACTCGACTTAATAAAAACGAAAACGGAAGTCGGAGAAACCTTTTTATAAATTAAGATGCAAAGAAACATAGTGTATAATAAAAATGCTCTGATGGGAATCTTATCTCCTACTTCGCTCCGACTTTATTATCATCATTTTGAATTACTTCTGTTTCTAATTGTACACTGAGGACGAGGCGTTTCGTTTTTCTACTGGCTTTCCATCGCATCGGTCAGTTAGAAATATCCATTTTTAAAAACGGTGTAGTAAATGTATCTAAATCAGACAATTTTGCTGAAGTTTTGCTGAAGTATTTAACTGTATTATATTTGTTTTGGACGTTTTGTTTAGTTAAAAATCATTTTAACGCTCAATAGTTACATTAACTTCATATTTTCTTAATTTTAAAGACGAAATAAAAAAGGGGGACATTTCTGTAGAACTAATTGCATCTGAACCTAAATTCGACTTAGAACTCCTATGTTCGGACTTAAATTCAGCAGAGTCAGGTATCTATTTTCGACATGCTAAATTTTATGTTTTAAAAAAAAACAAGTTTGGAACCGTGCTTGTATTTGTTTATTTCGGGAACTTTAAAAACACCTCTGTTAACTTTTAACGGTATCTTAATTTTATCAACAATTTCATTATTTTCATACCAGTTCTACTTGGAGGAGTAGTTTCATTAATGATATCTTTTTTGTAAGTATGTTTTGATTATTGTCATTAATGAAAGCATTAGGATTTTGATAGGTAGACTCAATCATTTCTAAAAATATATTTTCATTATTGATACAAATGGTTTGAGCAGCAGTAATAGTATTAGAGTTTTCCTCTTGTACAGCAATATTATTATCTAATGGGGTGTATACGAATAATAATAAATTTACGAATATTCTCATTGCTTTTTCTAATATCAATTTCTGCTTTTTTGTTCGTCATTTGTTGGGTACATCTATTTCATCAGTTAAAAACACATCCCATCCTTCATCTAGAACTTAGCAATCTTAAACGTCTATCCCCACGTTTTCTACTATTCTTTCTTCCATTTGAAATTGTGACCTATGTTCTCGATAAATCTGTAACCAAGTGCCGTGGTATAACCACCCTTCACGGGTTACAGATACAGAATAAATTTTTCCCATGTTGAGTTCGTCAGTTGAAAATTGCCATTCTTAACGATCAAAATAAACCCACATCTAATTGCCGCAATATATGGGTTGAATTCTGTAGTAAACTCAAAATTATAGATTTTTCTCTACCAAAATCACTCAATGAAAGTGTTAGGTGTGTTGACTTGTGACCATCCAAATACAAAATAACAGGAAATTGTATCTCTTTTTTGACCAGCCAAGGATAAAATACATCCAACCATTTTTAAAGTTTCTAATTTTCTGGTATATGTTGAAGAATATATAATAGCTAAACATTGAGTATGGGAGGTGCAATATCACCAAAAGTGTTCCCTAGAAGAATTACTTATTGTTTATAAAAATAAACGGAATGTGTGTTATTTAAAACGGTTATCATTACTGTTAAGCAGTTCTTTTCATCTTTACCAACTTTTTGTAAACGGTTTGGATTTCTTTTTGGCTAAAGCAGTATTTCCTTTTGGGCACAGAAAAATAGCTGATTCGTCACTATTAGAGACTCTTCGAGGATCAGTAATATTAGTGCCAGACTGCAGAAAATACTCCTCGGTTTCATTAAACCGGCCATTTGTACTATTTTCTGTAAACAGGGCGTTCCTTTTCATAAATTCTTCATACCAATGTCGGCCAGGTTGTAACGGTTTTATTTTGCAACATTAAAAATACAGGGTGTCTGTAAAAGGTCTTTACAAAAACATACCACATATTCCTTAGACCAAAATAAGTCGATTTAAGTAAAATTACCTTAGTACAAAGTTGCTTCGTTTGGGCTCCAGATGGCCTTGAAGTTACAATTTTTAAATCGTTTTTCCCATATAAATTTAAAACGGCATATGCGATTTTGCTGAAATTTGGTATGTTGGTAGAGTTTTATGTGGAAAAAAAAATGGTACTAAAATTTTGTCCGATTATAATACATAGGCGTAGAACTTGATTTTTTAAATAATTGCACCTTTAAAAATTCTACGCCAATGGAAGAAAAGGAGTTTGAGTATGAAATTTAGATTGCGCAACTCATTTACTTTAAAAAAGGTACTTTTGATAAGACTCGATGACTCTCATGGTTTTGACGAAATTTGCATTTTAGTAATTTTAGAACACAAACAATAATTATTAAAATACAAACTTTGTCAAAACCATGAGAGTAAATCGAGTGTTATCAAGGGTACTTTTTTGTAGTAAATGAGTACCCAATCCAAATTTCCTACTCAAACCCTTTTATTGCCATTGGCATAGAATTTTTAAAGGTGCAAATATTTAAAAAATCAAGTTCTACGCCTATGTATTATTATCGGACAAAATTTTATACGATGAAAAACATAAAAATGTACTTTTTTCATATCTTCTTCAACACCTCCAATCGAGACTTTTAACAAAAATACTCGATTCTTGCCATGTACGATTTTTTGAGGAATATTAATTATTTGCCTGCAATACGTATACAAAAACATTTATTGTTGGTTTCCATAGTTTCATCTAAATAAAAATATTGTCAAGTTTTAACACCTAATCTCTTGTTAACGATTGAAAGTGTTCTATCTAACTCAATAATTAAAAAAACAAAGGCGTGGTTTATTAATATGGCTGTACAATATACCAATGCAGAATATACCGATATGTTACTGACATTAGGATTTTGTGAAGGAAATGCTCGAGAGAGTGTCGGGGTGTACTCTGAAAGGTTTCCAAATCGTCGTGTACCTAGCCACCCAATTTTTGCTGCTGTTGAGAGACGTCTTCGGGAGACCGGTTCCTTTGCTCCCAACACTGTTGATAATGGAAGAGAACGTTTTGTAAGGATTCCTGAAGTTGCAGAAGACATTTTAGAACGTGTTGAAGAATATCCAGAATTAAGCACCAGACGAATTGGAAGGGAACTAGGAGTAGGTAAAGATGTCGTTCATAAAATGCTTAGAGAACAATTCCTATATCCATACCATAAGAAGCCAATACAAGAATTATTAGTCCATGATCCTCAAATTCGTTTGGGTTTTTGTCGATTTGTTAATATGCAAAGAGAAAGAGATCCAAACTTTGTC